TATCAGAAGGCTCAGTTGGCAAGTATTGAGAGCAGGTATCAGGCCCAGGGGTAAGGGAGCTTCTTCACATGGAAGCCTCCTGGACAGCAATGCAGAATGAAGAGGCAAAAGTGAATCCTCTCTCCCTGGTGGTGGCTGAAAAAAAAAAAAAAAAAAAAAAAAAAAAGTGAAACCTGATTTTCCATAAGGGAAACCTTGGTTCCACCATGCCTTTGTTTTTATCATAACAGGAAAGTTGAGGGAGCTCCGATTTGAGGGAGCTCTGAGTCACCTTCCCTAGTCAGCTTCAGGGTCAGTTCTTCTAGTTAGGGGAAAACTCCATGAAGTTTACTTAAAAGAAAAGAAATTGGATTCATTTACATAATAATATATATTTATATATACAGCTGATACAGTCTATTCTCAAACCACATGCCATCAAAATTGATGTTTAAAATGTCTTCTTTTCTCCTTTCCTCCCAAATTTAAATAATAATTCACTAATATCTCCAGAAATTTTTTTTTTTTTTTGAGATGGAGTCTCACTGCGGCACCCAGGCTGGAGTGTAATAGCATGATCTCGGCTCCCTGCAACCTCTGCTTCCCAGGTTTGAGTGATTCTCCTGCCTCTGCCACCCAATTAGCTGGGACTACAGGCATGCGCCACCATACCTGGCTAAATTTTTTGTATTTTTACTAGAGACAGGCTTTCACTATGTTGTCCACACTGGTCTGGAACTCCTGATCTGTCCGCCTCGGCCTCCCGAAGTGCTGGGATTACAGGCGCAAGCCATTGCACCCAGCTCAGAATGTATTTTTCAGACAATCATTTAGCTTTCTCTGCTTCAGGCACTGTCTTAGATGCTTTAGTATTATCTCATTTAATCTTCACAGTAAGCTATGAAGTAGGTACTGTCTTTATGCCCATTTGACAGATGAAGAAATTGAGACAAAGAGGTGAAGTAACTTGCCCTTGGTCACACAGCTGTTGAGGAGCTGCAGAGTCCATGCCGTAAACCACAAGGCTATGCTGCCTCAGAGAATGGAACAGAGACACAGAGGCGCACAAATGGAAGCTCTGAAATGACAACAGGAGAATTCCTCAGGCGTCCTGTCCTTGCTCTCTGGATACCATTGGGAAACCATCAGGGAATAACTGTGTCTTTTCCATAGCCTGAAAAAGCTCATAGGGACAATCTAGCTCACACAGTTTATACAAGAAGGAGGTTCAGTTAATCTCCAAATATTAATCATGTAAAAATAGACCTAAATGAAAGTGATCATTTCTGGTGAATGTGAATGAGAACTTTGAAAAGGCAGATGGAGTTACAAAGAGTGGTTACAAAATGTCCCCTTGTATGTAGTGGTCCATGCTGAAAAGAAGGCAACACAGCTATCAATGTGGAGCTAGAGGAAAGTGAGGACCAGAGGAGCTCCTTTTGTCCCATTGGGAAACATCAGAGAGGGTGGAAGAGGCCATGTCCACCCAGGGATTGGTCAGCAGAGGAACAGGCCCCACTGGGAATGGCCCAGGCTCAGAAAGGAGAGAGACTAGGAAAGTAAGAACAAGGAGTTAGATGGTGACTCAGCAGCAGGCAGTTGGAGGGAAGCCGGGCAGACAATTAGCATCAAGAAGGCTTAGCAGGCCTTAGGCAGGGTTCTAGGGAACTAGGCAGAGAAAATATCTGAGAGCTCCAGGAAGGCAGCCAAGACTCAGGCATGAAAGGCCAGACAGGGACTCGCTGCTGGAGTGGGAGGATTCAGTGAAGGGAATAAGATGAGAGAAGATTCCAGAAGCAGAGGTATAAGATCAGAGAAGAATCAAAAACATAACCTGAATGCATGCTGAGATTCTGTGCTACCTACTCAGCTCCCAGCATTTCCCTGAGTAGGAATAACTTTGGTCTTAGCATTGCACCCTACAGCTTCCCTGGAGGAGAGGATAAGAAGAGACTGTTGCAGGAGCAGCTCTACCTGACACCTTACTCATCCATTTCCCCAGCACCATCCCTTGTCAGCCATTTTTTCGAATTTCCTTCTTGTCGGGTAGGGACCTGGTCTTTTTGATCAAGCCATTGAGTGAAGGAAACCAGGATATTTATCCTGTATTTGAACCATAATGGCTTTTGGGCTGCATGTAAAGCTTGAGCCCAGTTATCTATAACGTGTGGCATGGAAGAAATTGCCCATTGACCGTGTTTCCACTTGTTCCACTTGTTCCTTTGTCTGGACTAGGCAGCCTGCAGGAGGCAAACACTGCCATCTAGCGGCGTATCCAGGCTTCTCTCCAGGAACTGGATCTTGAATTGTAGAGACAAAAGCCTGGTTCTTTATACTCTTCTGTCCAGCTCATGGGTCTGATGGTAACACACCCCAGGGGGCAATGGGTCTTGTACCTGGGTGGCATGCTGGGCTGTTTGCAACTAGAGCTTCAGGCCCCTTCTGCCCTAACAGTCTGCAAAAGGACTACGCCCATCCCTGGACCCAACCATGTCGCCCGCTGCAAGTGGCATCCCCCGCCATGTGTGAGCTTGGCCTCAAGAAACAACCCTGAGCCCCTGGCATTGTTGCAGAGGAGCAGCTCCACTGAGATACAGAAGCTCAGTGATAGAGAGTCTCTCAGTGAGAAAGAATTTCAGTCATCTAGGCCAGCATTCTACAGAGTCCATTAGTGAGGTGGAATCAATTTAGTGGGATGTCAACAGCAATTGAGAAAAACATAAAATAGAATGTCAGAGTGGAACTTGTGTTTCAGTGATATATCTATTCACATGTAATGTTCTCTTGTCAAACTGTGAAGTGTATTTCTTACAGAGCACTCTGGGATCTGAATCCCAGCACTTTGGGAGACTGAAACGGGAAGCCCAGGAGTTTAAGACAAGCATAGTGAGACCATGTTTCCACAAAAAAATTTAAAAATTAGCTGTGTGTGGTGCTGCACATCTATGGTCCCCGCTACTCAGGAGGCTGAGGTGGGAGGATCACTTGAGCCAGAGAGGTAGAGACTGTAGTGAGCCAAGATAGCATCACCGCATTCCAACCTGTGTCAGAAAGAGACCCTGTCTGTGGCAGTGGAAGGCATTCCTGGACCCTTACGCAGACCTACTGAATCATGATGTGTGACTGGGAGGTGGAGCAAGAGAAGGAACAGCTAGGGAATCTTCATTTTATAAGCTCTTTACATTATTTTTATGTACACTTAATGCCCAGCCACTGATATTGACATTTCTGAGCTTGAATTTCCTGATGTATGAGGAGGAAATGATAGTACCACCTTGTTACTGTGAGGACCAAATGGATAATTAACATAAAGGTATTTTGCTAACTGTAAAAGCACTCTAGAGATTCGAAGTATTTCCATCCCACAACATCCTTCTCTATATGATGTTTTTAAGGAGGATAGCACCAGGAGAGTGGGGGTGGGGAAGGGGGAGGACTGTGCATTTAATGGAACCAGGAAAGTTAAATGGAAAAATGTTGTTTATTCTGTCTCCTTGCACCTTCTACCTTCTGTCCTGCAGATTTCCTGATCTGATCCCAATGGTGGTCCTATGACTCCCTGTCCCATGACTGGTGGTGATGCTTATTGCCAACATCAGTCTGATGCATTATTTTAACATTTTTCAAGCCCCCTCTGACATCAAATTCCCTTTAGTGGAAATTTCTCATGGTCCTTAATGCTGAACTTTTGGTCCTGGTGGGACTGTTAATTCTCTACTCACTGTGATGTTCACTATGGGTGCCATTGGGCAGAAGCTTCCCAGAATGTGTGTGAGACAGCTACACAACATATTTGGACTAGTACATTAATATGGCCACTGGTGCAGAACATTTGGGCCCCGAAGGCTTAAATCAGAGATGTGCAGACTGAAGTCGAGTTTCCTGGAGGTGGGGCAGGGATTTTGCCTCCAAACTGCCGTTTGGGGTGAACTTTAGCGGATAACAGGCTAGCAAGCTGGGCCTCTCAGCCTCCTCCTTCCTTCCCTTCTCTGCCTGTCACTCTTCCCCTAAGTGCAACTGCTCTTCCAAGACAGAGACTGTCCTTAGTTCTAGGAGACAAACTAATAACCAAATAGGTTCTCATGGAAATGTGAAGCCAGAGGAAAAGGAGGAAGTGGGGCCAAATCCCCAGGGTGAAAAAGTGAGAAGTCTCGGCATTCAGCCAGTAGGGATTGCTCCTGTCAACCCATTTTATTGGTTCTGTCCCAGGATCAGTGCAGTAGGAAAATGCCAGTGTGGAGCACAGCCAGCATGGAGCATGAGGGGTTGGAGACTGTTCCTAAGTGGGAAGTGGCCCCTCTTCCCTTCTCATTCTTCCTCCTGGTCCCCAGTGGCTGAGCCTTTGAGGCTCTTCTCCTCCCAGACAGACATCGCTTTACTTCTGCCTTTGAGTTGAAGCCCCATTCTTTTTGTAGTCCTCATAGCCTCAATTTTAGGCTGATGGTTCCAGTAGGAATGGGGATGGGAGGTGTTGCAGGGGTTAGAAGGAGGGAAGGTTCCCTCTTCCATTATTCCCTATCAACTAGTGAGAATCTAGTGGGAGGGGTGAGTTGAAATAGATGCCCATACAATAGGAGCCTGAGGGATGGTGGTCAGGGCAGAGACAGGGCACAGGGTAGAAACCTTGGAAGGGGTAAAGGGGCATACAGGGAAGGGGTTTAATGGCACAATTAGCTGAAGCTTGGCAAAGGACTAATGAGCTCTAACGAAGCAAGAGGAATTAGAATCAAAGCCCTGGTTCTGGGCAGGCTTCAGACTGTGGCTGCAGCTAGAAAGCCTGAGTGATTGAATAGCACTGTGCTAATTACATTTTTTCTTCTTTTCTTTTCTGTTCTCAACTCTCCTTTTCATCTTCTGCCATCTCCCCACCCTACACACCATTTTCACCCTTTTTCCCCTTTTTCTTCCTCCTCACCTCTGCTCTCACACATCCTTCGTCCACTCTCACCAACTCTCTCCCATATTTCTCCCCCTTCCTCCATGCCCTCCTGTTCTACTCCCTCCACCACCACCCACCAAAGCTCTCTGGCGGATGTGAGCTGACCGTGGTCCTCCAGGACTTCAGTGCTGGCCACAGCACCGAGCTGACCATCCAGGTGGGGCAGACAGTGGAGCTGCTGGAGCGGCCCAGCGAGCGGCCCGGTTGGTGTCTGGTCCGTACCACGGAACGAAGCCCGCCCTTGGAGGGCCTGGTCCCCAGCAGTGCCCTGTGCATCTCACACTCCCGAAGCAGCGTGGAGATGGACTGCTTCTTCCCCTTGGTGAAAGGTAGGAGAACAGAGTGGGCGGGAAACACAGACCAAGGAGGCCATGAACGCTGGCCTGACCCTAACTGAAGGCCACCATGGAAGCAACCTGTCTCATGGACAAATTTTGACCCTGTGGGGTTTCTTTGGGACCCGATTGTGAAAAGAATGGGTTGGGAACTTGGAGAGCAAGAGCTACCAAGTAACTGTGTGTGACTTTGTCATTTAGCCTTCCTAAGTCAGTTTCATCTTAGAAGTGAAGGTTGGATGAGGTAACCTCTAAGATCTCTTACAGCTTCCCCAGGGTATCACACTCCATTCAGAAAAGTGCTTTTCTACCTTTGGCCAAATATGGCCTAGACTCTTCCTTTCTCCACTGACCTACTCCCCCTCCACAGCAACTTCTGGCTCTCTGACCCCTCAGCAGGTACTTTCATGCTGACCTGGGAACACCAGGCAGACCCAGGGAGGAGCCACAGCGGAGTCAGATCTGATCCTCCCCTCAGCCTTGCTAGGGTTTGAGGTCCATGACTCCTTTGTGTGCCTTCAACAGATAAAGTATTCCAGTCTTGGCTTGTATTGTATAGAAGCTCTGTGTTCCCTTCACATGCCTGTTTACTCACTTTTTCTCACACCAGGGAGACTAAATTACTCATGACAGTGGTTCTTCAGGGCTGGTCTCTGGATTAGTAATATCAGCATACCCTGCAAACCTGTTAGAAATGCAGATGCCAGCCTGGCAACATAGTGAGATTCTGTCTCTACAAAAATTTTAAAATGCAAGGTGGTGCATGCCTGTAGTCCCAGCTACTTGGGGGGCTGAGGCAGGAGAATCACTTGAACCTGGGAGGCTGAGGTTATGATGAGGGTGCAGTGAGCCAAGATTGTGCCACTGCACTCCAGCCTGGGCAACAGAGTGAGACTCTGTCTCAACAGCAACAACAAAAATTTAAAAATTAGCTGGGCGTGGTAGTGTGCACTTGTAGTCCCAGCTACTCGGGGCAGGGTGAGGCAGGAGGATCACTTGAGCCCAGGAGTTTGAAGGTGCAGTGAGCTATGATTGCACCACTGCACTCCAGCCTGACTGACAGAGCGAGACCCCACATCTAAAAATAAAAAAGTTAAAAAAAAAAAAAAAAAGCCAGGTACAGTGTCTCACACCTGTAATCCCAACACTTTGGGAAGCTGAGGAGGGAGGCTGGCTTGAGGCCAGGAGTTTGAGACCTCCCAGGGCAACATAGTGAGACCCCATCTCTATAAGCATGGTAGTGCATGAGTAGTCCCAGTTACTCAATGGGGGACTAGGCACTTGAGTCTGGGAGGACAAGACCGCGGTAACCATGCTCACACTGCTGCACTCCAGCCTGGGTGACAGCAAGGTCCTGCCTCAAAAAGAGGTTTTTTTTAATTTAATTTTTAAATTAAATTTTTAAATTAATTTTTTAAAAAAGAAACACGAATGATCAGAACCCCCACTCCTCCAGAGCTGGTGGGGCCCATCAAGCCCTCCAGGTGGCTCTGATGCACATTTGAGCTTGAGATCCGCTCACTTCAGAAGTCCAAGCGGCAGAGGCTTTATCAGCCAAGCATTTTATGCTCAGGAAGCCGAGGGATGCAGAGCCAGGTCTTAGTTCTGGGCTTATTTTTGTAACTGGCCAGATAATCAGCATCAGGGATGCCTTCTGTGCAGACCTGTGCTAGATCATTCTAGGGAGGAAGACGGGGACAAGAGTTAGCATGGAGACCTGCTGCAGGTATCCTGATAGTTGCTATGAACTTGGTACATGTTTAAAACTGTCTGGTGTCTGAAGTGCCATCTGGTCTAACTCCGAAGCTTGACTTCCTTTCGTCCACTAGATGGCAGCAGCAGGCTGCACTGTTTGTGCTACATCCAGCCTTCCGGGGGTTTTTTCCACTAGGAGAAAAATGTCAGCTGACACCGCCCCCCTGATTCTCCTCGTGCCCTCCACTCCCAATTTAGTCATTGCCTGCTTTCCCCGCTGTCCTCTGAGGACTAAGGAGGGACTGTGTCGAGAAGTTGTGTGGGAATTTGAAATTGCGGGCACAGGAGGAAAATCAAGGGAACTCAGGAATCTGGTTCCGCTTGAAGTCTAGCCAAGAGGAGAACAGGTACACGGAGGATAGATTATTGTGAAGGTAAAGTAAGGTAATGGAGACAAAACGCAGCAGTGTCTGGCATTTAATGCACCTTAGTTGTCATGATAAGTTTTTGCTTTTATATCATTTGCCATAGATTATCCAGCAAAATAACTACACACTCCCGCAAGTCCAGTTGAGAGACCCATCTGCACAGCAATTCATTTGCCAAGAAAGGCTAACGTTCCTTGGATCCCCAGGTGTGGGTTGTTTTCATCAGGAGGGACTCAGCTTCAAGGGAAGACTGGAAACTTCCTGACCTAGGCCCAACCGCCCTAGCCTGAGGCTGGGTATAATGTGCACTCCCTTGCTGCTGGGGCTGCCACATGTACAGCTTGGCAGGAGGAAAGCCAAGGTGGAAAATCAGAGAGCAGTGTCAGAGTCAATCTGTGATCCCGAGTCGGGAGGTGGAAGCATTCAGGGTGAGAACTGCACAGGACTGGGGGTTCTCTCTACTATAGGACGGATTCGTGGAGATTTAACTAAAAATAGGAGCTGAGGACGAGGGATGGAAAATAGAGGCAAGAGACAGACCTGGGAGGGAGGCTGTCATAGAACTTTCCAGTTAACTCTGCCAACCAGCATGGCTTCTTAAAGGTACCAGCAGTGCCTATCACCCATTTCCTTGGCTCTTTTTATTTCCAGGTTGGTATTTCCCCAAGCTTAGGCCAGTTATGCTGAGCCTTCAAATGGCAACCTGTGGGGTCTCACTATCTTCTCACCCATGTGGGCTCCAGATACAGAGATGCCCAACTCCCAGTAGTCAAAGACCTAAGTCAGCCAGGCTCAGTGGCTCACTCCTGTAATCCCAGCACTTTGGGAGGCTGAGGCAGGTGGATTTCTCAGGCTCAGGAGTTCAAAACCAGCCTGGGAAACATGGCAAAACCCTGTCACTACAAAAAAATTAAAAATTAGCGGGGCAGGGTGGTATGCAACTATATAGTCCCAGCTACTTGGCAGGCTAAGGTGGGAGTATCACCTGATCCTGAGAGGCTGAGGCTGCAGTGAGCCATGATCACACCACTGTACTCCAGCCTGGGTGACAGAGTAAGACCCTGTCTAAAAAAAAAGGAGGGGGGACCTAAATCTGCATTCTCCATGGACCATTCCTTATGCCCTTGGCACATGCCACAGCCTCAAAGCCCTTTCCCTCTCTCTTTGGAGTGTGCCAAGAGTGCTGGCCTTAGCCAAGACCCAATAAGCTGTTCCTTCTCCTATTCCAGCTGGCTGCCTGCTGGCAAACCGCCTTTTCTTTTCTCAGCAGTAATTTGTCTCCAGAGGGTGCTTTACCTTATAAGTTATGCACAACTAGATTGAGAATAAAACGTTCCTCTGAGGGTTGTGGAATAGGACAGAATGGTCTCATCTGGTGTCAGGGAGATTAGAATCAATTCCGTTTTCAATTCCTATAAGAGAACTGACCCTCTCAGCATTTGCAGAGAGCACCAAGTCAGCACTCTCACAGGCTGTGTGAAGCAGGGACTGTGTGATGGCTAAGCACCTTGTGAGTGCTCAGGCCATGACTGTCACCCCAGAAATGGAAACAAGAGAACCACAGGATGGTTCTTGATAATCCACTAGACCAGGGTTCTCAACCCTGGCTGCACATGAGAATCATCTGGGAGCTTTTCCAAATGACAATGTCCAGACCACTCTAGAACAAATGGAATCAGAATCTCTGGATAGGGCCTGAGGCTCAGTATTTTTAAGTGTTCTGTAGGTGACTCTAAGGTGCAGTTAGGGTTGAGAACCACTGCACTAGCCTGCTCTTCTCTCTTCCAGGAAAACGCTCAGGCTCAGGAAAGCAAGGTGACCTCCCAAAGCCACCGGGAAGTCTGTGGCCAAGCTGGCACAGACCAGGGCTCCCAGCACCTGTTGGGCTTCTGGTAGTGTTGGGGGCTCCTCTCTGCCCTTCCCTCCTCTGCCTTCTGTGGGAGCAGTGGTTGGTTATTTCCTTCTGATATGTCTGTGGTGTCACTCATGATGGGGTTGGTGAAAAAGAGTGGGGCTGTGTGACACAATTGGGGTAGGGCTGCCTTTCCTGATACTTTACGGCCACCCTGACATCTTAGGGCTTCTCACTGGGATTGGGCCCTCCAGCGCTAGCCCCACATTTCCACAGTCTCTTCTCATTTTCACAGCAGCAGGTGGTGGAGGCAGCACCTCCCAAGGCAAGCCTTAGTAGCACTTCTTTCCAACTCTGGATGTACCTTAGAAACCATCTGGAGCAGGTTTCTAAAAATACTGGTGCCTCATACCCACCCAGAACAATTAATCCAGCTGCTTAGGATGTGGACATCAGTATATTTTTAAAGTTCCTTCATGAAAAAAAAAAAAAATTAGCTGGGCATATTAGCATGCACCTGTAGTTGCAACTACTCAGGAGGCTGCAATGGGAGGATTGCTTGAGCCTGGTGTTCAAGGCTATAGTGAGCTGTGTTCATGCCACTGCATTCCAACCTGGGCAAAAGAACAAGACCCTGTCTCAGGAAAAAAAACAAAACAAAAAACGTTGCAGCCAAGCGCGGTGGCTCATGCCTGTAATCCCAGCACTTTGGGAGGCCGAGGAGGGTGGATCACGAGGTCAGGAGATTGGGACCATCCTGGCCAACATGGTGAAACCCTGTCTCTGCTAAAAATACAAGCTGGGTGTGGTGGCAGGCACCTTTAATCCCAGCTACTTGGAGGCTGAGGCAGGAGAATTGCTTGAACCAGGGAATTGGAGGTTGCAGTGAGCTAAGATCGCACCATTGCACTCCAGCCTGGTGACAGAGTGAGACTCCAGCTAAAAAAAAAAAAAAAAAAGTTACTTAGTGATTCTGATGTTCCCTTAGGGTTGAGAACCACACTTTGTGGACTCAGCAC